TATACAATCGAGACAAGTAGCTACACGAGCGCCACTTGCAGGTGCAACGCGCAGGTGTGCGGTGCACATTTTGTTTACAATAATTCCGACTAGCTACAGGGACGCTACTGCACGTGCAACGGCGCAGGTGCCAACATATACAAAAGTTTAGGTTTTTATTTATTGATTGAGGCAGTACGAAGTCTGCCGGGTCAGCTGGTTAACAAATAAAAATTACCTTTTTAGCAAAATCGCAGTAATTGTTCAAAATGTCTACCATTTACTTCTAAACACAAACTAGTAAGCCTTAGAAAATTCTTTGTTAAACTTCGAAGCGTGTCTCTATCACTTTTTATTTTTATTTTTTTTTTATAGGCTAGGGTGACAAACGAGCACACAGTCCACCTGATGGTAAGTGGTTGCTGTGGCCCATAGACATCTACATCTATCCTCGATTACAAATCAAAATGCAGATGCGTTGTCACCAGTGAGGACTAAGATGGAATGCCTCGTTTCCAGTAAAAAGGGTCTCACTTTTTATCACATTAAATACGTCTATTATACGCTGCTTTAAATTACTAACACTTTGTGCTTCTTTTGTGTACACTAATCGTTTTAGTTCGGCCCACAAACAAATGTCTAGAGATGTTAGTTCTGGTGATTTCGCCGGCCAGTTCACAAATCCACCGTAATCTATGCACTTATCAACGAATTGGCTCTCCAGATATGCACAGAGACACACAGATCATTCCTAATGAGCTGGACATCCATTATGCTATCATGCTGGAGGTACATTCCTTGCAGATGGCTCAGAGGCACATTTTTAACAAACGTTTACACTGAAACAAACTTGATGAGCATATTCTTTGAATTTATATGGGTTTTGTAAACTCCACCAGTGTTCATTGTGCATGTTATAAATTCCAACGCGGGTAAATATTGACTCATCGCTCCTCAAGACGTTAGCCTGCGCATGCTGGTGTTCCACAAGGCTGCGTGCTATCACCAACGCTCTTTCTTCTGCATATCAATGATGTGTTGCAAACCCGTAACATTCATTGCTATGCAGATGACAGCACTGGTGATGCTCTGTACGCCGGCCGTGCCAATATTTCTTGGGAAAACGTCTCCGAGTACCGGGACAAACTTGTGTCTGAAGTCGAGTCTCTGCTGAACAGAGTCTCGGATAGGGGGCGACTAAATCTAGTCCAGTTTAACCCCCAGAAGACACAAGTTTGCGCGTTAACCGCTAAAAAGAAACCCTTTGTTGTATCTCCTCAGTTTCAAGGCTACTCCCCTTGTTGCTTCAGCCAGTATCGGAATCCTCGGCGTCGACATATCGAGTGACGTGCGGTTTCATGGTCACTTGGAAGAGAAGGCCAAATTGGCCTCTAAAAAGCTTGGCGTGCTCAGCAGAGAGGGACAGTATTTCATGCTGGCACACCGCCTGCAACTTTACAAGGCGCAGGTTCGGCCGCACATGGAATACTGTTCCCATCTCTGGGCTGGGCCTCCCCAATACCAGCTCCTTCCACTTGACCGCATCCAGCACAGAGCTCACGACGAGTGTTTAATTGATTGATTTATTTAATTCATAACTTCTGTTTTTATTTTTTGTAAAATATCATGGCCATAGTATAGGTTTACACTCCGTTTACATGTTAATTTTTCCAGACTGTGAAAAAGGTCATCCAGTATATGATATTTGATAATAAGTTAAGTTTTATTTTTATTCTATATAATATCCTTTATTTATTTAATAAACTTCAGTACAAGTCACTTCATACTTCATTAGTTCTTAATATTATGATTTCTGTTTTTAATCAGAATCATAGTTTTCCTTTATATTGTTCGTCGTTTTCTTACAAGTATTATTTCGTAGACAGAGAAACCAATAGAAAAATTGACGCCTTTTTTCGCATTCGCACAAGAAAAAGATAAATTTATGCATACGACTTGCATAGAAATGAGACAGAACGGTGTGATTGTTTGTTCCTTTCTCCGTGCCTGTTTTTTTGTTTAGCAAACTACACTTCGCTAAACAACTTTGACAGTTCGTAGCGATCTAATGAGTTTACAAGTTGGTTTAAGTGAGAAAGAAAGTGTTTTGTGAGCTTAAGATTGGTGAATCTTGTTCAGTTCGATTCTTAGAACAATTAAATTTTTTATCTAAACATGTTTAAGTCATAAAGATTATTGTATAACCTAAAACTACGTTATCGTCCTTTCTCACTCGAGATCACGCTAATCATTAGTCTATAGGTTTCTCTGTTTACGTATTATTTATTGACTGGAGGTTGGCAGTAATTGCAGGTTACCTTAAATAAATAAATAAAGTTTCGGGAGCGGTGCTGAAGCTTTTTAATAACAACTAAATATATCTCGATGACTTTTATTACTATTTCATTACAATAATGAATGAAAAATAATTAAGTGCAGTACTGACCTCCTTAACAAGTGATTACATTATTTACATTAGCGCCTACTTCCAGGCTGCATAACTGAATCTCTGCATAAATCTGTCAGCCACGGAGTTTAGAGAGAACCTCCATGCTGTCAGCATTGCTAGTCAATTTTAGGGGTATATTATGTTCTGTGATTGTCATAGGGATGTCGATGTTGCAAAAACATCGATGACGACATCGATGTTCGATGTTTATCCTGCTCCAAACATCGATGTTGGCCATTATCGATGTTTTCTGCACATGTACCTATTAGTAGGTTAGAAACACAAACTAATAAGAGTACTAACGTACTTAGAAAAAAATGGTTAGAAATAAAAAATAGTCATGTTGTTTATGGTTTATTATTGATGAAATGAAAGAAATTAATAAAAATTTTAGTGTCGGTAATTTAAAAAATTGGAAGAAGTTAACAAATATCTAGTTTATTTATTATATATGTATTTTAATATTTCTTACCGATCGTGATGAATTCACTATATTAATTTTTAAACAGCAGTGGTAAATTAAAAAAGTGACTTTCAATAAGTATTTTTATAATCTACACTGAATAAAAAAGTTTCTATTTCTATTTCTAAATGTTCTATACATTCACAAATCTGGTATAAAAAAATTACTATGGGACCTAATTTACGACTTAGACATAGTTTTTATATCAACTACTTCTATCACGCAAGAAAAAAATACGATTATTGAGAATCCTAGGATTCTCTGTCTACGTCTATTACTATTTTCATAATCTTCAAAATCAAGCAAACAATAAACTTGTCATGATACTCAATAATGCAGATAAATGTAATTGAATTGTATAGATACTTACATATTGTTACAAAATTATATGGGTATAGTCAGCAAGGAAAAAAAAATCTTTTGAATATCAATTTACATAGAGTAGTTATTAGGCGACAACCGATAACGACACGAACACACAAAGCCAAAGCAGTGACTATCTAGTATATACACAGTAATCTATGGCAGTGACAACTGTGACATTTCAGTTCACATTTGACAGTTAAGTTTGACACACCATAATGATATTTTTTAGGTGATCGATTTAGTAATTCTGAATTCTTCAAAATTTTAAATCTTTAACAGGAGATGCAAGATGTAGTTGAAATAGATTTCGCGGGTTCGCGTTTCGTAAGTTCCCATTAATCGAATGGGTTCTTTGAAAACGATGTTTCGATTTTTGACATGTAGCAACATCGATGTTTTAATTTTTAAAATATCTAAAGTTGAAAACCTGCAACCTGTAAAGTTGACACCAGTAATCTATTCCTGCCACAAATATCATTGTCTTGTCTTGCTCTTGCTCTTGTTCTTTTATTATCCTTTTCAATGCGTAGTACTTTCCGTATATATTACTCTACTCTATGGTATCCTCTTAGTCTCTTAGTAAACAAGAGTCAATGGGTGCGTTTGGCAGAAAAAAGCGCTAGCAAGCGCTTATAAGCGCTAAAATAGTTTTCGGCCAGGACACGATTGCTACTTCAGTAGCGCTGACACAATCCGCCATTTTGCTTATTTAATTTGTTTGTTTTGAAGTAGAGTTTATAAGTTGTTTTGTGCAATATTAGTTTTAAGTAATATAATGACATGAATAAATATATACATGCTATTAAAAACTCATGATTGGTAAGTTTTTAATATGAATACTTTACAAACATATATTTAAATTAGGTTAGATTCCCCGGTTAAAACTAACATCGTGTCCTGGAGGAAAATAGCTACTTACGATTTGACAGCGCTTACCGCTTACGATCGCCATTTTGCTTACAAGCGCTTGCTAGCGCTTTTTTCTGCCAAACGCACCCAATGAAAGTGTGGAATGGACTAATAAATATGGGTATTTTCCGAAATGCAACGCAGTGTACTGTCCAATGCAAATGACGTCATGAATCGTCGCTATACTGGTGATTCGTTCCAAAACATTGGACAGTATATGACGTCATACTTTTGCGCCATTTGGAAAAGTGTTGGCGATTATTTTGTCATTTTGTGCTCCAAAAATCATTATATCCTCCTAATGGATATACCATCAATTATTCTATAATTTTTTGTATTTGAATAAATAGAAACAAATTCTGGCATGCTTCATTCGGCAAACACACAATTAAAAATTGTTTTATTATGGCCAGATATCCGGCACAATATGGCGGCGGCACGCTAGTACAATAAAGTGTCAAATGATACGTCATTTGCATTGGACAGTACACTCTACACTGCGTTGTATCTAAGAGAAGTATCCTGTTCGGAACATACCCTGCATGTCCTAAGTACAGTAGTAATGTGTGTGAGGTTTTTGTTATAGTTAGGTACGGCGTACGGCCTAGCCCAATTAAATGAAGACTGATGAAGACTCAACGAAAACTCTCTACAAACATCATGCGAAAGTACTATCAGCTGATTTTGATTTTGATTAGTTTCATTAGTATAGTAACTTTACTAATATACCGCCATGAGTATTATCGGTTGCGCTATGTTTTGGAAGTTCTGAATTTTTTCGGCAAACCCGGTCTTTCCGAGATAGAATTTTGTGGACCGGGCTTTAACGCTACAATGTTATCTGAGATACTACGAAACTCATCAATGGAAGTACGGCAAACACCGCCGCTGTTTCAACAGATTGACGACAATTTTTACTCATACTCTTCTTTCTTACGTTCTTATCAGAAGTATGAGAAGCTCACCCCTTCGTATGCTCATAGCATAGATACTATAGTTATTGGTAAAGCAAATGTTCATCCAACGTTTCGTTGTAATATTTGGCTGGAAAATGATTCTAAACCCAAAGCTGGACGATTTTCATATAAAACAATATCCAAGACTAAGGATGACTTTATCCTGTATATATTTCAATGCACAATGAACAAAAATTTTGGAAAGCCAAAGGGAATAAGTTTTTATGTTAATGACTATAAAGTCAACCCTATAAATGCACCTATTAATAGACTTATTCAAGTTAATACAAAACGAAAAGCAAGAGAAAGTAGCAGTATAAAATTTGTTAACAACATTGTGCCAGCTTTATGTGTAATACCAAATGAGGTACCAATTGTATCAAGAGATTCCTTCATAGAGTTTCTGGTATTCCATCACATGATGGGTGTTAACTATTTTACAATATATGACAGCATGATATCCGAAGATGTTATAAGAAGATTGAATTTGTTACCTGCCGATATCACACAATGGAATATACAGTTTTTCCCATTAAACTATCCATTTATATTTTCTAAAACATATGATATTGTACGTAAAGCCGTTGAATTGGATTGTTTATTTAGGCATTTCAGGTATGATAAGGAAGAAACAGATATAGCCAGTCATGCAGCAGTATTGTCTTGGGATGAGTTTCTAGTACCCCGTTTTCATATGACCATCAAAGCTGTTTTGGATGACTTTGATCCAACACGTGCATTACGAACTGTGATTATCCAACCGCTTTTATTCTGTTTAAATCAAGCTGATGATGATAATGCAGAAGTTGGGTATCCCAACATAATGAATAAAAGACATTACTACATTTTATCTCAGGAAAAAACATTAATTAAAATAAGGAATCTTGACACTATGTCCACATTTGATGAAATATTCAACCTTACAGCTAGCAGTAAAGAAATACCATTGGATATGATGGGTGTACATAAATATGCTGAATGTAGGGACACTAGTAAATATAGTCCAAGTGGTTACAATGAAACACAGTTGCAAGTATTTCAGCATAAACTTGAAGGTGCAATTACCCAATTTGCTCAGAGTTTACTCAGTAATAAAATTTATAGACTTTACAAATCTGGCCAAATTTGGGAAAAAACTATAAGTGAAAATGTGAGAGATATGTTGTGAGATTTTAGTCTTAAACATTTATATTATGTTTAAAATATGTAGTGGTAGTCTAATATTTCATACAGACTTCGCAACATAACATGCAATGTAACATGAAAGGAGCACTTCATCAGTGTGGACGCATTGTGCACCCGAAACAAACATGTAGCTACTCTTATCTGTTCCCAGCGTGCGCGCGAACATAGCATCAATCAGCTGGAAACACACAAAGAGAATTAAATGTGATGACCAGTTACTAACTCTGAGGTCTGATGTTTTAAAGTTGTGTGTAGTAGAGTTGTACAGAGAGAGAGCTGGTGCAGAATTAATGACTGACATGAGGTTTAAGCAGGCGTTCAGTTTGTGTTTGCGTGCGTCTCAACACAGCCTGTCCATATTTGTGCTCCGAGCATACTGCATGCCCATTTGTTTGTTTGAAAAACCGACAAATCACGGATCACTCCATGCGCAACTTGTAATGCTTGTAGTCTGCTCATGAAATGCAAGTGCGCAAGGCGTCATTTCATGTTACATTACATATTCTGTTAGATAAGTCTCCATGCAGCATAAGAATGTCCACTATCCCACTTGTCCGGTGGATGTTATAAAGAGCAACAGAGGGAAATTTTAACAGAAGATGGGCAGCAGCATCTTACCAACATATCAAGCATGGCAACTATGGTAAAATCCTGACGAGGCAATCTATGAAACAGGCCTGTGCTCAGCAGTGAAATTTTATAGGCTGTAATGGAATGGATGGATGTTTAAAATGTATTAACCACTTTCTAATGTCAGCTTCCTATAATAAATAATAAGGTAGAGCTATAGTCAAAGCCAATTTTAATGTATAATCAACAAACTATAAAATATGTATTATTAAACTAGGAATACCAACCTACAATACCTATGTATTAAAAATCTATTATGTAATGTAATTTTGATGATAAATAGAAAATTACTGCCATATTTAATTGTATTATATTGAAGTATAATGATAATGGTTTATTAATAATGGTGAGTGATGCACTGTCAATTTATTATTGTAAGTTTTATAATAATCAAAAGTAATCTAATCGAGAAGAGTTGTCATTTGATTAGGCAGTTCATAGTTAATATTAAGAAAATGATTTATTTATTTATTTATTGATGGCACCACTGGATTGTTTACACTAATCATTCAAATTGCAAATGTATGTTTTTATTTCTAAGATAAAAGGCATATTGTAATATAAATATGTCTTATTTTTAACATTAGTTAGATGCAAAATTAACAAAAACATTACCAATGTAAATCCATTGTTTATATGATAAATGTTTATATTTATAGTTTAACAACACAGAACTAGAACAACACTGTTTGTCAGTGATTAATAGTTATCAAATAATTTTAGCAGTAACACCACTAACAATATAATTGATCAAAAAACTTAAAACTTGAATAAGGGTGACAAACACACAGTCCACTAGGTGATAACTGGATGCTGTGGCCCATAAACATTTACATCTATCATCAATTAAGAATCAAAATGCGGGTGCATTGCCACCCCTGAGGACTAAGATGGAATGCCTCTTTTCCAGTAATAAGATTCTGTGGACAAAACACAGCAGCATTGAGCTGCTATTTTACGCTGGTATTCTGTGAAAGCGTGTTACTTACCCAGTTAAAATGCCCATTCATGCTACAACCGTAATACAGCTGCACCGTGACTACCACATATATATTATTATCTGTACTATATTATTAGTATGCACTTACTTTATTAAGTTCCTTAACTAACACTGTAAATACTCTTAATGACATGCTGAGTAACTGAATGTTTAAACATGCTATATTATATCTTCTTTTTTCAGCCTTTAAAAATACACTGTTGAACATGGGTCCTTTCTGTTAAAAAGAAGGTTTGCCTTAATTACCATGTACCACACCTCTCATATTTCATGCTGCTCCATTAATGGTCTAGTAATTTAAGTCTGGTCTAAACTGAAAATGGTTATACCACCACTTAGAGAAAGCTATAAAATCTTTTTGGTGATTCCCGTAGTTGCCTCTTATGACACTCAAACAATGAAATCGGATGAAGGATTCCCTTAAGCATAGTCGGTATATAATTATGTATTTCCATTGGGTACCTAATGAAAGTAAATTTTTTTAATTTCTAGTCAATGAACTAAAGTTTTGAAGTACTATAATGTGACAACTGTTGGTCATCAGACTTTCTTTTGCTGTTGGACATAGGCTCTTTAAATTGAGAGAGTTTCATTAACAACCATACAAACCTAGATTAGCTATCAAAGTTTCAGATGCCACATAATATGCTCATAAGTACTTTATTTTCCATACTGTATTTAGGGGGATAAGTTTAAAATAATTATTGTTTTATTTTATGTTTAGACTATGTTTAAAATGTTTGAATAATAGTGTGAAGTGAAACATGTACAAACACAAAAGTGAAGTGTTTGGATAAAAATGCCCACCTTAAATACTCAAGAGGATCATCAGTATCACTTCCATTTGGTGTCAATAAAATACAAATTACGTGATTGTTAACTCTAATGAGAATCATGTCGGGTTTGTATTGAAGTGTGATTGCTTTTATATTAATATCTTATTTTAGGTTACAAAATATTCATATATCATAATTTTTGTTGTTGTAAATGCGACTGGTCATGAGGTCCTGGGTTCGAATTCCGGGTTGGGCTATAAAAAAATCAGATTATTTCCGTGAAGAAATTCTCAGTAGCTGCCCGGTGTCTCACCCCGTGCCTTGGAATGCACGTAAGCCGTTGGTTCTGCGCCTGATCTCTCTCAGGTTGTGTCTATTTACTGTCTCATCAGGGTTAGGGGTACATTAATATCTTTTTAATTATGAAGATTCTATTGGGATCCCTCTCAGAAATCAGAGGAGGCTATAGGCTGTAATTTTCATTTTCATAAGGTATATAGGCGGGAACTTTCTTTTTTCAAACAACTTTTTTCGCAATGAACTAAGCAAGTGGACTTTAAAGCTTCATATTATAATAGTCCTATGGAATGCCCTCTTGCCATTAGTGATTTTAGGTGCTATTTAAAATCAGTGTAGATTATTTAAGTTGATCAAATTCTGTTTTTGCAATTTCAGGAGTGCCAAAATGTTCTTTTTTGTTTTTATTGGCGGCTTTGATAGACTCAAATAATATATTAACTGTCCTATACCTAAGTACAATAAGAATATATTAGTAAAAGTATTATGTTATTAATTTTAATTCTTCAAAAGTGTACTTGTCATCCTAGGAAATTAATGTTCAAATTCAAATCAGTTTGTAAAATAGTTTTTCAATACTAACAATAATGTTTGATTTAAGTATAGTATAATACGCCTTAATTTAATGTAATCCTAAGGATAAAAGGTAATTATGCTCTGAATTACAATATAAAGTATTTCTGAGCTTAAATTTACATAATTAGTTAAGATGTCACTGGAAAAAAATTGTTAAAATTGGGCGATTCATATCTTGACTCTATATTATCCTCCAATTATTGTATATCTTCTTCCAAATCCATTTTAAAGGCCTTACTGGATCCAGTAGTAAGTTTGCAACCAACATCTCGTGCAGACTAGCCCAAAAATATATAATCACGAAGTTTGAGCCTGGACCGCTCGCATTCGGCTTACATATCGGTTGCAATCCATGACGCGTCGATGGCCAAAGAGTATAATCACTCCTATGGCAGCCGCTGACAAGCGGCTTTTTACTTTGCTGCAAGCAATGAAGATGGGGTAGTTACCCCTAAAGCTTATCTATGGTTGCCTCTGTCGTCACGACCGGCGCTGGGTAGATATTTGCATCTCTGTCCGGCTTAGAATTGTTCGGACTAATTTCAGCCGGTAAATGTCACCATCGCACATCACGACAAAATTAGCAATGCCATTCATAATCTCGGATGATTGGCGATCTACCACTATGCGATTTATCAGAAGTTTTCTTCCTCGCACAATTTTTTGTGGAATCTGCTACTACCAAAGATTTTACCGAATTATATGACTTAGGGACCTTCAAGAAAAATGCCTACACTTTTCAAAAGGCAGGCAATGCATTTAAAATTCTCTTACAGTTCGGTAGTGACTCACCATCAGACGAGGCTCGTGCTTGTTTGCTCCCTCTTGTGGTATGTGTTATTTATAACCTAATTTAAAATTTAAAAAAATCGCCGATACAAAATTTGCAAATGATCTTCGTTTGAAAATGAAAACATAGCTAAGAACATTTGATTAATACATCTTTCGAACTACAAAATAGGTCTCCTGCTTATGCTAACGAACTACAAACTCCTAACATCACCGCTCCGTAAAAATAGTACTGTCTGTGAACAGTCTAATTTAACAAAATGTTTCGAATTTTTTTGTAAGGTGAAGTGAGAATAATAATTAAAGATGGATGTGCCTTGAAAGTATGAGGGTCAATAAATTGTTATAAGTATTTAACTTATGGTGGCCACACACGGTCAGTTAAACTGATCAGTCCAAACTAAAACTGTTATATCCATAAATAAACTTATATGTAAAATTCCTATATTAATATATTTATAATGATCGATATATCGAAAATCCACTATTATAAAAAATATCAACAGTTTTAGTTCGAACTGACCGTATGTCGCGTCCATTACAGTTGGCATTGTTTCAGAAATTCATGCTTTATTAATAAGACTGCTTATCTAAATAATATGTTATTCAGTAATAATACAATTTTGAGTTGTTAATGCAATTTATTAAATAAATATATACTAAAATATAAAATCATTTCTTTTAATTTACGAATCCGTTGGGGTCGTTTAGCTGGTGAAATTCAGAAATTCTAGTATACCTGACTCATAGATATGCGGAGACAGTGGGGTCGCCATCGGTAGCCTTGGTGGTTAGTTTGGACATAACCAAGATCTTCGATCGGATTTGGTACTTAGCGCTTCTTTCGAAGCTTCCTTCTTATGGGCTTCCTGAGAAATTGTCCAATTGGATCGCTAGTTTTCTCGCAGATCAAAG